ATAAAAATGTTTTAACTTTTTAGTGTGAATTGCGAAGTTTACAGAGCAGATCATCAGTTTTACATTTAACAAACCATAGACTTCGTTTCATTACAATGATTGCTTGCAATCCCCTCCATGTAACAGTATTTACCTCTGTTCACTTTACATTTCAAACTTTTTTACCATGCAATTGTCCACTCTCGGAGCTCTGGTAGCAAGCACAGTGGTTACAAATCAGGCTGCGAACTGCAAGGTCAGCAGTTTGAAACCACCAGCTGTTCCTCAGGAGAAAGATGAGGCTTTCTGCTCCCGTAAAGATTTACAGCCTCAGAAATCCTGTACAGGCTCACTATGAGTTGGAATTGACTCCACGGCACATAACAACAACATTGTCCACTAGGTGTCCTGGTGCGGCATTGTAGATGAATGCGCTGGACGGCAAAGTTAGTTTGAACTGCAAGGTCAGCAGTTTAAGCTTACCAGCTGCTCCTTGGGAACCCTATACAGGGTCACTATGAGTCAGAACTGATTTGACGGTACTTAACAACAACAATTGCCCACTAATATAGTATGCTGTTAACTTTTATATGCATTGTTGTTGTTGATGGTAAATGCTATCGAGTTGATTCCGACTCATATCGACTGTGTATAGGGTTTCCAAGAAGTGACCGGTGGCTTTGAACCACCGACCTTGCAGTTCAAACCTACCTTGAGTGCCACACCAGGACTCCAGGGTTGTTGTTGTTGTTGTTGTTAAGTACCGTCCAGTCGATTCTGACTAACAGCAACCCTGTATGGGATTCCAGGATTAGGTCTACACAATACCGTGTGAGAGCCATGTCTGACTTGCCCTGACTTTACAGGGGGGAAGGAAAATCAAACTCAAATTCAGCCTACTACCGATTCCAATGCTGGGGAGGTCACAAGCGCGCGCCTCCACCCTATAACCTTCTTTGCCCTATTCGGACACCAACCATCCCTCCACACAGCGCTCTGTGCTGTTTGATAATCCACTGCAATGACCACACAGAACTCCTAACAATAGTCATGATTATGGGATTTATTAGAGAAGTGAACGGGGATCAGAAGGAACTCAGGCTGCAGCTGTTCTTCAGTGAGGAATGCCTCATTCTTGTCTGGCCTCTCAGTCAGGTGGTCCCTCAGCCTCTGCCCTGCTCCAGTCTCCTGTCTGTGGGCACCCAGCTTGACTAGTAACCGAGCCCACAAGTCTGCAGCTGCTCTGACTCTCCTTGCTGCTGCATCTGCTGTTTCCGTTTTTCTAGGTAGGGATCTCACACTCCACTCTGCTCTGGTTTCTTGATGGTCCTGGGGTCATCTGTTTCTGCTTCTGAGATGACTCCTTTTAAACCTAGTGGGATGACAAAACTAACCAATCCCCGCCATAGAGTCCTGTACATCTTATTTGCATGGTCCCACCCAATCACGTGGTGGGAATTAAGAAGACATTGGATAGAAAAGTTATATCAAGTAAATTCCAGGCACCCCAGAGTAAGGTTCATGTTAGGGGGAGGGGCTGGACTAGTTTTAGAATTACGGTTAGCTTTATTATTATTTTTTTTTTTTCTTAAAATCGACTTGATTTCCCCTTCATTTGGAAGCTTTTTTAATTCCCTTTTTTCACTTTAATTTTTGTTGTCATTGTAAACAAGTATCTTTGGTTCCCTATTTTCTGTCTTCCAGGCTTGTTTTACTTAGAATGTTTTTAAATCTGGGTAGTGTTCTGGGTAATAGCATCATTCATTTATTCTAGTCTCAGCTTATTGTCTGCTGTTATTGGTCCTTGGTCCAAAGAACTTCCTTTTATATTTTTTGTAAGTTTGATGTGTTTTTTGCAAAGTCTTTTACTTTCTGTTTATTTGGAAATGTCCTAATTTCGTCATCATATTTGATGGCCAGTTTTGCTGGGTATATGATGCTTGCTTGGCATTTGCTTATTTGTTTGTTTCAGAGTTTTATATATGTCATCCCATTGTCTTCGCGCCTGCATGGTTTCTTCTGAGATATCAGAACTTAGTCTACTAGTTTTCCTTTGAATTCAGCTTTTCCTTTATCCTGAGTTGCTATCAGGATTTTGCTCTTGTCTTTGGTTTTGAAAAATTCAATGATGTCTCAGTGATTCTCGTTTGGGGTCAATCAGGTTTGGCATTCGTGTAACTTCTTAAGTGGCTGTCTCATCTTTCATGATGGTAGGACATTTTTCTTGCAGCAACTCTAGGACAATTGTCTCTATGGCTTTATTTGTATCTTCCTGTTCTGCAATTCCAATCACCAGTAAGTTATTTTTCTTGATAGTGTTTCACATAAATCTTAGGCTTTCTTTGGATTTTTTTTCATTCTTTTTCTGATAATTCCTCTTGAATATGAGTATTGAGAGATTTTTCTTCAAGCTCACTGATTTTGGCCTTCCATTGATTCAATTCTACTTTGCCCTTTCGATGTGTTATCTATTTTTGAAGTCTTATTATTAATCTTCTGACTTCCTAATTGCTCTTTTTGGATGGTTTCCAGTTTTTCATTTATTTTGTCATTTTTTCTTGTATTATTTTCCTGAATTTTTTCTTGCTTTCATTGATTTTTCTCTCAACTCGTTGAAGGTCCCTAAGTAGCGTTTTTTTCATATTCCTTATCAAGTAGTTCTGAGTCCATGTCTGGTATTATGTTTTCTGACTCTGGACCTTGGTCACTTGTTCGAGACATTCTGTCTTTTTTTTCCGTGTAGGCCGAAATTGTCTATATTTGCTGAGATATTGTGGTGTTGTTATATTTATATTTAATTGATGATTGTGTTTTGGTGTGCTCTCAAGGCACTCACTGCCTGTCTCCTGGTGGATGTGATAGAGACCGGAAGGAAGTCTGAACACAATTTTCAATTCGCTGTTTGTGTACTGTAGTTCTTGGAGGGTTCAAGCGCCTCCTAAAGGACCCCTGGGAGAGAGGCTTTTCAGGAGAAGGTGCCACTGGCCATTGTGTTGGCAATGGCAGGACTGACCACGCCCTGGCTACCTGGTGGGCAAGAGAACTCCAGAGGACTGCACCCCACTTGTCTCCCACCTGCAGCCGGCCCTGTGCGTGTAGGCCACTGTTTCCCAATCACTTGTCAAAGCTGCACTGTTCTACAACAGCTGATAGCCCGCCAGCTTTTCTTTTCTCTCAGTGCTTGTATTTAAATTCTTCTTCCAGTAAGCACTAGTCCACCTCTCTGTCCTATCTTTGGAAGCTCAGTATTCCAGGACCACCATCCGTATCGATTTCTCTTGTTCTGCCATGCCTTTGTGGCAAAGGGTCTGCTCAGTGTATCTGCCTACACCGCCATTGTGCCCCAAATGCATGACTCATTTTATTGTGGTATTTGCTTTACTGTCATCTGGAACCGAACCTGAAATATCTCCCAGGTATGCGTGCATACGCTCAGTAATGGGTTAGTTGTCACTGTTACAAATTATTATATATATATACCAAATACACCCTCCCCTGCTTTTGTTAAAAATACGTAGTCCTGCATTTTTCTCTCACGTAAGTTAATAAATCTTGGAGAACTTTGTACTTCAGCAGATAAATGGACAGGTAGACTGACAGACAGACAGAGAGATAGGTGTTGTTGGTGTTAAGTACCTTGGAGACGGTTCTAGCACATAGCGACCCTGTACTGGGCTTCAGAGACTATATATATATCTGTATCTCTATAGAGTCCTGGTGTGGTGCTGTAGGATAAACACTGGACTGCTAAAGGCAAGGTCAGTAGCTTAAACCCACCAGTCTTTCCTTGGAAACCCTATACAGAGTAGCTATGAGTTGGAACCGACTCCATGGCACTTCACAACAATATGTCTATATAACTCTGCGGCTAATGACTGAGTGTTGTTATTACACAGCTGTTGTTGTTAAGTGCCATCGAGTCATTTCTGACTCATAGCGACCCTGTATAGGGTTTCCAAGGAGCAGCTGGTGACCCTGAACCGCCGACATTGCGGTTCAAACCAACCTTGCAGTTCAGCGCATTAACCCACAGCACCACACCAGTTATTTCATGGAGTGGGTGCGCTTTCGTAAAAGCTTTTTGACAGAGAATTTGGCATTGCGGTGCCCAAGTTAAAAGGCATCCACCCTAACATGGCCATTCTTTTAAAAACATTCTATTCACTCTCTGGATTACTGGTGTGGCTCTGTGGGTCGGAACCGATTCAATGGCACTTCACAACAACAACAACAATTCAGTCTCGGAGGGCCACCTGCCAGCCGGGGCGGGTCCGCCTCGGGCCCCTCCCACTTGAGCCCTGCCCCTAAGGCCCCTCCTCTAAGATCCGTCCCATTCCTAGGCCCTGTGCCCGGTGAAGCTTCGGTCCGCTGTCAGCCTCGGACGTCCTCCAGGCCCCGCCTCTGTCAGGCTCCGCCAATCTCCGACTTTCCCTAGGTCCCACCCCCATTAGTCTCAGACTCCCATCAAGCCCCTACTCCCAGTAGGTCTCCATCCGCCGTCAATCTCCGACGTTCTCCAGGCTCCGCCCCGCCGGCTCAGTCGAGCAGTGCGGCTGCGCAGGCTTCACAGGCTCCGAGGCCCAGGCGCCGCGGCTCTTTTGTTTGCCAGACAGAGACGGAGCGGGACCGGGCTCGGACACGCACCCCGACCCTTACCCACACCCGCAGCCTCCGACGGAGAGCTGCGGGCCAGCCACCCGACACCGACCCCTGAGCCCTCTGACCGTCCCCAGTCGCGCGGCCTCCCCCTTTGCCCCCGCGGCCCGTCCGGCCTGGGCCTGCCCCCTCTCCCCGCGGCCGTCCCCCTACGAGCCCCGGGGGCGCGCGGCCCGGAC